CAAAATTCAAGCCCTGCCTTCCAGGTAGTCATAAAGATGTTTTTCAAGGAAAGAGGATAGAGGTTTTTTTATTTATCAGTTTGTTGACCTTATTTATTTGAAGTATTCAAAAATATGGTATATGGGCCTCCATTGTACACTTGGCTTGGGCACTATGAATTTTGGGGTGGCCTTGGTATGCAGAGGTCACGCCCACAATGGTGCTACCGTCCTCAAGGAAAGGCCCCTGAGGGTCTCAGTCTACCCTAAAGCTTGTCTCGAAACTTTCCTGGTTAAGAGCTAGGTCTGTATTTTTCAGAAGTTTCCAGATAAATTGAATTGTAGAAAGAAACTTCCTCTTTCCACAAGAGGGAAGTTAGGCTTCAGTTTCAAGGCAATGAACCTGGAGCCACGAATGTTTCTCCTAAAGGTGGTAACAAGTCTCACTGTCCCACATCTGCCACCCTCACCAACCTGCTGCAAGAAGACTGATATTAACGGCGAATACAACAATCATATTTTAATATTATTGGCAAGTGAGCGGGAAGAAAAAGTAATATTGCTATTTCCATTTTAGAGATGAGAGCGTGAATCGCAAAGGTTTGGGCAGAGAGGGAGGGCCATGTTCATGCGGGCCGAGGAGCAGGGGCGCCCCTGAGGTTTAGCTGACTCTTGAGTAGAAAGTCAGGCTAAAGTGCTGAGGACCAGTGTACGTCCGCCACACCTCTGGAGAGAAAAGGAGGGGCTCCCGTATGGCTTAGGTCGGGGTAAGTTTATCGAAATGAAACAGATGGAGAAGCGGATCCAGTCTTCTTCAGTCCTTAATTAGGACCCTCTAAGCCATCCGACCTAAGATATGAATTCACTGTAGGTGTAAAGTGGTGGGAGCATTTGGACACTGAATTGAAGGGTTATCCTCTCAAGGAGCCATTCCAAGGCACCACTGGAACTCCCCCCTGACATCACCCTTCCTGCCCGCCCTTTCCTCATCTTCCTTCCAGTATATCAATTCCTGGGAATCCCATCTGGCCCAGCCTGGCCCAGCCCTTCTCTCTACCCGAAGGAAGCTGATCCTGGCTGAGGTGATGTCATGCTTTTGAATCCCCTCTCTCAGGGCCTCCTTCACCCAGACAAACAGTTTTGAACTTTTCCAGATGTGAAGAGAGACCTGCTGCTAGTCCTGAGGACAGAAGTGCCTGTGCCAGATGAGTGAAGCAACCCTGGGCCCAGGCCAGCTACCAACCCACTAGGGTCAGGCTCCTGGTTGCAGCAGCCTCCACCCATCCACCAGTCATCCAAGCACTGAGGCACATGTACCAGGCTCCGACTGCACATGAGAACAGGACCCGAACCTCAGATCCATGTCTCTGAAGCTAGGATGAGTGGGGAAACCTCCAAGACTCTGGAGAAACTGGACAAAGGCGGGGAGAAAGGGACAGAAGGCAAGGCTGAGCACAGGGTATATACAAGCTGGTGTAGGACAAGGGGTCACCTCAGTAGGGCCCTGGGAGCCAATCCTGGCCTAGGTACTGTAATATAGGGACTCTCCATGAAGGAGTCTCTTGGTTTCATAGTCTCTAAGGCTCCATTTACAGAGTTCCCATGAAGAGACTGGGGTCTTGAGGAAAAGGCATCTGCAAGAATCAAGACTGACCACAGATCTCTTTTTATACTGTCCTTCCACACACAACCATAGTATTAAACCATCAAATTCTGACCTTTATTGATCTGTACTTCTGATTCCTTACTCTGCAGGGGAGTCACAGCAGCCTACGAGTCAGAATCTAATAGGCGATGGAGGAAATCTCCACTACACCTTCTATTCCAGACTGGGGGCACAGCCCTCACCCAACCCAACAGAGTGTGCTAGCATGATTTAAAATAGAATGAAAGGCTATCTTCTCTGGTTTACTTCTCATTGCACCTTTATTAACTGTGTCTCCCTAAGTACCCTATTTGACTTTAAGTACCCTATTTGATCTCAACTATTGGACTTGGAGCAAGGGGAAGACATAAGAGCTCAGGAAGTTAACAAGATGAGGATTCGAAGAAGCCAAATAGATGTCACAAAATTCACGTGGTAAAAGTCATCCATTTAACTTGCAGGTACTTATTCAGAAGCAATTATTCTTGTTAATCGCACAATTCTAACAAGCTTGGTTATCTGATATACTAGATAAAGCTAAAAATTAGAAAGAGACTCTCAGAAACAAACAATAAAGAGAAGCAGCAGCTGAAAATGAAATAAAAGAAACAGAAATAATAAAAAACAGTCATGAGTATCAAAACCCACACTAGTCTGGAAGCATTTATGGTAGGAGTAAATAAATACATACACCTTAACATGCATTAATGATGTCACTGAGTTGCACCATGACCAAATTATTTTCATGACACATCTGAGTCTTGAAGGTTAAAGTCCTCTTGTTTCGGTCCACTTAAGGAAGCAGAGGCATATTAAATACATTTTTAATAAGATTTCTAACTACAATGGATAAACTGAAGATTCTGTTTGTCTTTAAAAGGGGGTTACAAATCCTCAGAGATCCAGAAAGCTCTGTTACCTAAATAACTCAATTTCCACATTCTAGGAGACTAGGTTTTCCTGTACTTGGTCTTGCTTCTCACAGGTCCTTAGTTCTATTGCTTTGCTAGTGGTGTTCTGATCTCCTAGCCAGCCAGCCCCATTCCCTTCATCCTTTCAAATTCCAGCACCTGGCCCAAGAGGAGTTTCTCAGAGGAGTTCCTGGGTGTTTTAGCCCATGGAGACACAGTGATAGGAAGAAGGAACACACTGGCCTCTGCTGGGAGCCATGGCTTGTGCTGAGAAGACAGCAGACCCTGCACACAAAGAGCTCGCATTCTGCAATCAGACCATGATGGAAGGAGGCTTTCTACCAGGCTCTAGCTGTGCAGCCTTGGGAAGCTTCTTCTGCTCCTTAAACCTCACCTGTAAAACAGGGATAAAAATAGTCCCTGTTTCCTAGTTGTTTCAAGGGATAAAGGAGATAAGGGATGCAAAGTAGTTAGCCTGTCTGATAAATGCTGAAGAAACAGCGGTTTCCTTTAACACGGGCCTCCTCCATTCTGCATCTCTAAGACCTTAAAACACAGAGCTCCATCACTTACCGGGCACAAATCACATATGCTTGTTTCCTAAGGAAAGGGCTTGACACCTCGGTCCCATTATAAATTACTTGAGTGCCAAAACTATCTCTTCTACTTGTTTGTTTTACTCAGGGCGCTTAGTATAATCCTCTAAGTTCAGAATAAGCACGTGGGTTGAAGGGCGACTGCATCAGGGGAGCTCACACTAACCACCTCTACGCAGTGGTCTCATTAGATGCTATATTTTATGAGGAAATTTATTAAATTAAGGAGTGTCTACGGGAGGATAACCAGAATTAGAAGAGTTCTAGAAAGCAAGTCATATGATTGAGGGCCTAGTGTTATTTACTCTAGATCAGGTGTTGACAGTCGCAGATGGTGGACCAAATTCCGACCAAGGCTATTTATTGTATGGCCAGAGAACTAAGAATGGCTTTTACGTATTTAAAGTGTTGTAAAATAAAACAAGTGGAATATGCATCAGAGCCTACCCATGGCCTCAAAAGCCTAAGATATTTATTATCTGGCTCTTTCCTGTAAAAGTTTGCTGACCTCTGATCTAGAAAAGAATTTGGGGAGAGAGAATAAATAATTTTCTTCAAGGTTCATTTCACATATTGATTTATTCATTCTTATTTTTCATAAGCAAGTGATGTGGGAAGGACCACGCTCAGTGCTGTAGGCAGCACAAAATAAGAGAAAATTTCTTCCTGCTGTGAGGTGTGAATGTTATTAGAATTTAAATAAATCTCCACCCTCAAGGTGCTTATAATCTAGTGGGGCCAACAAGAAATGTCTTTAAGGATTGTCATGAAGAAAGATCAGATTAATTCTGTGAGAGTTGAAAGAATGGAATTAGAATTGATGACTAGAAGTTACAGGAAGGCTAATTTCACTGCAATACAAAAACAAGCTTAAAATAATGGGGTTACTTTTTTTAATGGAATGAAATGACTCCGGAAATAGTAAGCCACCCATCTTTTCTGGGACATTCAGGAAGCATTCTTGTTATGAGTTTGGACCATGTTGGGCTTGAACAAAGAACTGGGTTGATGCCTTCCTACGCATCGGAGGATAAGTTGAGGTGTGAGTGAAAACTCAGTGTATTGAGACTTCCCCTTACTCTTCAAATGAAACGTCTCGGACCACTTCCACTTACTTCAACCCCAGTATCGTGAGCTCTCTCTAGGGGCCCACATTTGCCCCAGTTGTCTTTCTCCATTTTCCTGATTGCCACTGACTCCTGGATGGAAGCGCCACGCCTCCCTGACCTCAGGCTGCAGCAGCTCTCGGTGTGCACTACTCACATGGGTGAGCCAAACACCCATTCCTTTATTCCCTCCACAGCACCACCAACACAGGGTTAGTGTGTGTTTACCGAAGATCTGAGAGCATGGAGCGAGGTTACATCCCAGCTCAGAGGAGACGATGACATAACTTTGAAATTTTAGACATCACTGTGATAAACATGCCAAACCATAAGGAATTTCTCCTAGACAAGTCTTTTCCACCTTCTGCGCACTGCTGTTCCCCTACTGTTCCAGGCACCTCTCCTCCTCTCTCTGTATCTTCTTGGACTCTGGACTCCTTCAGCCTTTTGTCTCTTGGGCCCATCAAATATAAAGTTCCACTTTCTTTTTATCATGGTCAGCAATTCAACCTCTTGTTGAAT